CATTTCCTACCATTTACAACCCAATAAACACTTTTTTGTTTTGACCCCTTCACCCTCCGTGGAAGAAAATCAGGATTAACACAGGCAGAGATGGAAATTAAAGTTGTGTGTTTCTAAATTCCTTTCTTTTTATGACTTTCTGGGAGGATTTTGCCCTCAACATTACATTTTCTTTTATCAACCTCTCTTAGCTTCTTCCTTTTGTGAAATTTGAGCTTCTTAAAAGAAAAATGAGATAAGTAACACAAATAAATATGTTGAAGAATGCTGCTTCAAGTGTTAGGAAATTCAGAAGGAAAGAGAATGTCAAGTGTGGGTAGTCAAAATTGTGAAAATCATACATAGTGAATGAAAAGCACGGGTCAGAGAAAAAGCCATTTTGTGATTATCACTGGTGAATTGTGGTTTCATTAGTGCAGTGCAGAAGGTCAAAATACTTTGGGTTAAAGAGCAAGTGATGGTGAGAAAAAGTGAAGTCAGCAAGTATAAAACACGCTTCAAAATTTTGAGCGTTCCCTAAGTAATGTAGGAAGTGAAGTCATCTATTGAGAAATAAGTAAATGGGTAGAATTGTGAGTAGAGAACAGAGTTTTGGAAGAGTCACTGTGCTGAATTCCCTTGGAATTAACAATATTTTGTTGTTTATAAGGAATGATTTTTTTCCCTAACATTTTAACAGCTGATGGCAACTTAAAATCATTGCTGGCTGTCTTGATGTAACTTCTATTTCCAGCATATATGGGAACTCGATCATGGCTATTCATATTGTAACTTAAATTGAGTTATGTGCATTGCTGAAAATGTCGTCAAAAAGATTACTTACGCTGTGACTCAGTATTGAAACAGTAAGTTATTTTATACTCAGAAAGGTACGTACCCAGAGCAGTGGGGCACGAATTAGATATTAATGAAGCATTCATTGGGAGGGGCGGGGCTGAACACAATTCTATAGATTTCTTATAAAGAACAACTGAAAGCTTTAATGAGATCCAAGAATATAAGACACATATATTTATTACTGAGTTGTTTGTAAAAAGAGTGGCTATCACACACCAAGCAATGCAATTGAAGGAAAGGAAAATTGCCATATACCTCAGAACAGATGAGTGAACTTTGAAATCAATGAGAATTTTGTGTGACCAATTGAATTATAACACAGGATTATCTTTAACATGGTTGACATCCATTGGTCAGAAACTTCCAGCTAATTGAACAGTAGCAAGTTTATTTCCAGCAACTAAAGCACCTTTACTTCTTTCAGCTGAGGAAAACTGAATAAATATATGTTTTTTTGTGGAATAAATATATGCTTAATCAAATAGGATAAGCTAATGAATCCTAGAGATCTTTGGCATGCTGTAAAATTATAATGTTAATACCAAAGCACTAAATGAAGCATGGATGAAGAAAGGTGATGTATCACCATGACACTGTGCATAACTGCCAATGGCCAAATGTCTCCTCCATGTTAAATTTTAACCTCAAACTATTTCTGAAGAATATCTCAGAATATCTCCTCAAAAATGCTACTGTGTATTTGCATACACATGCATGGGTGCACACACATACAGATGGTTGGTGAATGGCTAAGCTGATAAACAAGATAAATGTTTTCTGAAAGAGACAACTAGGAAACTTTCTCCACAAGTGTTAATGTTTTACTTCTTGATTTATTTTGTTAGTGGATATGCACTGGGCTAGTTTAAAAGTAAGCTTACCCAAACTATATAATGACTTAGTCATTATTGCTGCCAATGTGAGTGAACAACTGCAACCTCATGATTTTCAATCAACCAACCATTTAATCACCATCTGAAGAAGGCCATTGTTTCTTGTTTTTGAAAGAAAACTATCTATTGACACACTGTAGTAAGATTGATAAAGTGTCAGGTATCAAAAACTGTCAAATGGAAGTCAAGAGTCTAGAAGAAAATTTTGAAGAAAATACTGAAGATGTAAGAAATAACTACACATCAGGGCACCTGGGTGGCTCAGTCAGTTAAGTGTCTGACTCTTGATTTTGGCTCAGGTCATGATCTTGGGTCATGAGATTGAGCCCCATGTAGGGCTCCACACTCAACAGGGAGTCTGCTTGAGATTTTCTCTCTCCCCCTTTCCCTCTGCCTCTCCCCCCATGCGTTTTCTCTCTCAAATAAATTAATAAAGTCTTAAAAAAAATAACCATGCATCCACAACATAGAAGCACAGAGAATGACAATCGGTGTGAAAACATGCTCACTGATGAGTGAGTCAAAAAGAGTTTCAGAAGAGTGGGCTCTGAAAGTGAATATATTTTAAGAATTCCATAAGCAATTGGGATTAAGACTTAGAAAAGTAATATAACCTGCCCAAAGTAATACAGTTTGCTTATAAATTACATTTAAAATTTTTTGGATATCCAACTAAGCCTAAAAGAGCTCTTTCAGTAATGGCATAATTTTTGAAAAATATAAGTTTTAAGAAAGTATTGCGTTATAGTTTAATTGGCAGAGTTGTTTCCTTCTCAATCACAAATAAAATAATGGCACTTCTAAGAATTGATGGTATCTTAAATAAAGTACTGTAACAGGAATTTTTGTGATGTTATTTACCACCTTTCTCTCTATGCTCTCTCATTCATTGATTTGTGCAGCCCATAATATCAACTTTGTTCTAGGAATTCCACTAAAAACTAAGGATAAAAAGGCTAATGAAGCATAGTTTTGTGATTAATATGTCCACAGTCCAGCTAGGGAGAAAAATAGAAATAAATAATTATACCATAAGGTGATAAGCACTGTAGTAAAGATTTATATGATAATGGTATTATCGGAGTGCATATGAGAGAGTTGCTGCCTCTCTGGGAGATTTTGAGGAAATGTAACAGAAAAGAGACTAGAGATTAAGTCATAAACAAGAGTTCATTAGACAAGAAAAGAACATATTTTGAGCAGAGAGAACAATATATGCAAAGGCCCAGTGGTAGTGATGGGTCCCGGAATATTCAACAAATAGGGTGAAGATAAGAATCACAGAAACATTGGCAGCAGAGGAACTTACAGGGGTAAATTGGAACCTGGTTTTGAAATATCCTCTTTGTAGTAATGGGAAACACTAGAGAATTTTTCCCCAGCATTTGATTTTTATATTTCTTTTTATAGTGGTAAAAAATACGTGACAAAAATTATATCACTTTAAAAAGTGTAGAGTTCAGTACTATTAGGTACATTTTACATGGTGGTACCGACATTTGATTTTTAGAGATAATTCTGTGGTGAATAAACTGGAATGCAAAGCCAGTAGATAAAAGATGAATTGAACATTTCAATTGAGATATGATAGGACCAAAGTTAGAATTGGAGACTACAAGAGGGAGACAATTAAAATAAAATTTGTAGGAAGAGAATTATTTGAGGGGAATACAAATGAGTTCCATTGTAGATATGTTATTTTGATATGTGTATGATACATCTGTGGGACGCCCTTCAGTACACAACTGGAAATATAGTTTCAGAGCTCAGGGAAGATGTGGAACTAGAATCATTAGTCCTGTTGAAGTGAATTATCTTAAGGAACCTCCAAGAAAGTGAAGGAAATGAAATCTAGGATGGGACTTTGATGAGACTCAGTATTTAACAGCTCACTAAGAATGAGGAGTCAATAAGGGACACAGTGTAGGAATAGCAAAGCACTAAGAAAGATATCATAAACATCAAATAAGGTGGGGCTGCCTGGGTGGCTCAGTCGGTTAAGCGTTAAGGCAGTAGACTCTTGATTGCGGCTCAGGTCCTGCTTTCAGGGTCATAATCTCAGGGTCGTGAGTTTGAATTCCACATGAGGCTCTGTGCTCAGGGGGAAATCTGCTTGAGGATTCTCTCTCTGCCTCTCCCTCTGCCCCTTCCTCCACTCACACTCTCTCTCTCTTAAATAAATAAATAAATAATAAATAATATTTTTGAAAAAATCAAATAAGGAAAGTATTTCAAGTGGTAAAAGCATCTAACAAGTATCAAATCTTATATTCAAAGAGAATAAGGCTTTTAAAATGTACATTGGATTTGATAATTAAGAGGTCATTGATGAGTCTAGCAAGAGCAATTCCATAGGCTTGTTGGGGATGAGGTTATGGGCAGAAGTGGATTATAGTGGGTTGAAGAATGATAGCAGAAATATTAGGAATAAAAATATGAAAGAATAAGAGTAGTGATAGATAATATCTATGGAACACTTATACAGTGCCAGGCATTGTGCCATTTAATTCCCGTACCAAATTTTTCACAATAGGTATCAAAATTTTATGGGCTTAGGAGAGTTCTATAACTTGCCCAAAGACACACACACACACACACACACACACACACACACACACACACGTAGCTTTCTATAGCCTCCTACAAATACTAAAGCCAGGTTTACACTAGTTTATATACCATTGACAAAGAGTAAATGGAAACTTAGGATATTTACAAAAGTAAGTACAAAATATTCTTTCAAGACATTTGATCACAAATGGAGGGAAGGAGATAAATCAGTAACTACTGGAGGAGGTAGTGATACTAAGGCAAGTTTGGGGCTTTTTGGTTTGTTTTGTTTTCTTTTGGAGGGGTAGTAGAAGACAGAATTGTTTTTAGATCGAAGCAGACTCAAACTATTTTAATTAGATAAGTAAAAGACCGTTTCAATAATGCAAAAGAGAAAGAGAGCCCAAAGAAGGAAAGAAAAGAAAATTTTCAGTTCATGGGTCAAAGGCTTACTCTCTTTCTCAGAGAATAATCTGATCTCAGAGACAGAAGAGGAATTTGTGGCATTATATATAGATAACTGAATATGGTAGAGAAGTTGTGGAGTTTTTTTCCTGATATTCACTTTTTCTGACGGTGGAATATGATTGGAGATTTAAAGAGTATAGTAAATATTTACAGAGTATAGTAAAGAATATAGTAAATATTTATAATGAATGTCTCAAAGAATTGGAAAAGAATTTCTTTGAATTCTTTGAATATTATAATTCTATTGAATTGGGGGGGAGCTGAGCGCTGAGACCTAGAGCTAAAGCCGGGAGACTGAGAAAATGCAGACCACCGGGGCACTACTCATTTCTCCGGCTCTGATCCTGGCTGTTGTACCAGGGATCTAATCAGGCCTGTGTCTGCCTCCCTCTTGAGTAGGCCAGAGATCCCAGCTAAACAGCCATCCTACAGCAGCAACCCGCTCCAGGTGGCCCGGCGGGAGTTCCAGACCAGTCTTTTCTCCCGGGACATTGACACAGCAGCCAAGTTTATTGGCACTGGGGCTGCCACAGTTGGTGTGGCTGGTTCAGGGGCTGGCATTGGAACAGTGTTTGGCAGCTTGATCATTGGCTATGCCAGGAACCCGTCTCTCAAGCAGCAGCTCTTCTCCTATGCCATCCTGGGCTTTGCCCTGTCTGAGGCCATGGGGCTCTTCTGTTTGATGGTGGCCTTCCTCATCCTCTTGGACATGTGAAGTTCCATGAGGGTCACCTACCCATCCCTGCTGCTTCGACTTCAGGCCATGCTTGGTGCTGGAGTGTGCTAAGCTTTACCATTAAACACAAAGTTTCTCTAAAAAAAAAAAAAAAATTCTATTGAATTACAGTAGTAAGTACATTATTGGTGCAGTTTAAAGTAGAAACCATTACTTTGTGTGAATACCAATAGACATTGTTATGTAATTCACCTTTCCCAGTGTGTGAGGCATTGGTAATAAAAGAGGACAGAAGATGATGCTCCTATTGATCCATGGACAATGGTTGGCTTTAAGAATGTACTAGAAAAGATGAGAAAGGGAAAGAATCAGGGAAGTGGTTAAAATATCATTATGGGGAAAATTAGTATAGGACTGCTAAGCAGGGTGGGGTTAATTATAGAATTGCTGGTTGGGATCAAAGAAGAAATGTGATGGAGAGAAAGAGACTCGGAGATATGAAGTAAGTAGCGGTTGTTTGAGAATCTCAGAATTTAAGCTTTCAGAAGTACTTCTGAGAGTTGACTAGTTCGAGGGTTCCACCTTAAAAGGATTTTGCTAAAGAAGGAGGATGAGAGATCCCCAAATTAAAATCATGTCTGGAAAAAGTAATTTAAAAGTAAATAGGGGTTTTACATAATTTGAAATTTTACTCCCAGTTGAGTAATTCTTTCAGCATATTATTCAACAGTAGCTTTGACAGAGGAAAGTAATTCTCAAGAGTACAATTCCAATAAAAACATAGAAATTCCTAGGCCTAACTTCTGATTTTGTGAAAATCGATCCTTTTTCTCACACCTCTCTGAAACAGACCTGCTAGTACACCGAGCAGTTCTGGTTAATGTGGCTGCAACCGCTACTCTATTTCTAGAAGCCAGCATTTCCCTCAAGGTTAAAGCTTACACCTGTGAAAACATAACCATTACTCTTCCTCAAGGGTTAGTTTTTGTTACTTGTAATCAGTCACTGATGATTGGCAATCATTTTTGAGGACATTTACTCATGTTTTCACATCTCTTTATCACTAAGACTGTTCTCAAATACTTGCATAGTTTCAATTTGCATAATGTACTCCATCAACATTTATGTGACATTTTATTATTTCATCTTTTCTATTGTCTTTTTACCCTCTGCCTTTAACATGATTAAGAAGAAAAAAAGAAAGCTTTCAATGACAAAAGCACCGAAAGATGGAGCATAAACAAATATCCATGTCTACTATTTCATTATTTTACTATTTAGATAATTCTTACTAGTTAATAAGGCAAGAAATTTCTTACTGAGTTGCATTTTGCCCATGATTAGCTTGTTTTTGTATCAAGAATATAGAAACTACCTGAAAACTAAAATCTAGTTACAATCAGCTAACCTGTGTTTACACATTTTCTTTAAAGCTAACTTACTTTATAGTAATTAGTACGTGGCAAAATGGGCTCTTACCATGCTACCTGGTCTTGTCCGAATGCTATTTGTCATAAAATCTTTCCTGATTTCTCCACACACAGTTAAATACTTCCTTATCTGTTTTCTCAAGGAACTCTGCTCATATTTGTCATTTATCATTTATTACACTGCATTGTGCTATCTGTTTGCAGATCTGAATCTTTCTTTAGACTTTGACCCATTTACGGTTGAAGCTGTCTTATTTATCTTGTAATCCACAAAAGCAATAAATGCATGACTTTAATTCTTTGTAATTCAAAACAAATTTTTAAAAACATTTTTGTTGCAGTATGAACTACACGAAAAAAATTATACAAATCCTAAGTGCACAGCTCGATGAATCATAAAGTGTATTCAATGTTGTTCATGAGATGACCTCCCCAGACTCACTCTAAGTCACTCCTCACTCAGAGGGATTTCTCAGATCTACCATTATTGACCCCTCAGCATCACTACCCCTTCCCCTTGTCCAAAAGTAACCACATCCAGACTCCTGACATCATAGATTAGTTTTATAGCTAGTAGCAAAAAACTGCTTTACATAGTTTTTGTGACCCTGTGTGATTTGTGGGTAAATGAATTTGTGCTTTTTCTTTTTATCTCTTTATTTTATGTACATATGAATAAAACACAAACTGATGACAGGTTCAAGAATCAGAATAATTCAAATTTAACTATACCAATAAAAGTGTCAGGTAGTATTAATAATGTTTTTAATCTGAACATAGTGAATACGTATATAATATCCTAAAAAAGTAACTGACAATCATTTCTCTGATTTTCCAGGAAGAGAGAAACAGATAATTTTCACTTCTTATCTCAACCACCGTGTCATTTCTAAGCTAGAAATTTAATTGTTGTTATGGACTGAATGTGTTCTCCTAAAATTCACATATTGAAATTCTACTCCTCAGTGTGATGGTATTTGGAGGTGGGGCCTTCAGGAGGTGGTAAGGTTCAGATGAGATCTTAAGGACTGAGTCTTCATATGGTATCAGTGCCCTTACAGGAAGAGACACCAGGGAGCTTGGTTTCTCTTTCACCTTGAACACACAAAGAAGTCATGTGAGCATACACTGGAAGGTAGCCATCTACAAGCCAGGAAAAGGGCTCTCAGTAGAACCTGATCACGTTGGTATGCTGTTCTCAGACTCACAGCCTCCAGAACTTTGAGAAATAAATCTCTGTTGTTTAAGCCACCCAGTCTATGGTATGTTGTTATGGCAGCCCAAGCAGACTAAGACAGTGGTATTTTTACATTTTGGTATTTGGTATTTGGACCACAAACTTCTCGTGTATTTGTAATAATATTTCCTTTTCCCGGAGTGTGTATAGGAAATGCTGGTGAAGCCCAACTCTGTCTTATTGCAGCTAGTATGTGTATTAGTTTCTTAAAACAAACTGAATTTTGCAATTGAGAATTTGATGATAGCTCCTTTTCCAATGTTAATGTTGTAATTAAACTTTGTCAGATTTAGATTAGGTTTTCCACTTAGCGTAGTGGTTCTCAATGAGGGTGATTTTGCCTTTTAGGAGACATTTTTTGTTTGTCACAACTCATGGTGTGCAGGTGGGGTGGGGTGCGGTGGGGGAGGTGCTAATAAAACCTAATGGGTAGAAGCCAAAGATGATGCTAAGTATCCCAAGATCAGGGAAGAGTTTGCCACAACAAAGCATTGCACAGTTCTAAATGTCAATGACACCAAGGTTGAAAACAACTGAATTAAAAGAAATTTCCATAGATTCCTGTTATTCGTTAGATATTTTGATGCCTAAGCTTTAATAAATTTTGAGTTACATACTTATGTCATTTTTGTTTTGCTTTACATTTTTAATTTCGAGGGGATTAATATCAATTTAAGGGAAATTGAATTAGAAATGCTTGGAGAAATACAGGCATGTATTCGAATGTATTAAAAATGTTCAGGGGCACCTGGGTGGCTCTGTCAGTTGGGCTTCTGCCTTCGGCTCAGGTCATGATCCCAGGGTCCTGGGATCGAGCCCCACGTCGGGCTCCCTGCTCAGTGGAGAGCCTGCTTCTCTCTCTCCCTCTGCTGCTCCCCCTGCTTGTGTGCTCACTCTCGCTGTCTCTCTCTCTGTCAGATAAATAAATAAAATCTTTAAAAAAAATGTTCAAACATGACTTCTGGTACATTCATTCTGTGTTAAAAGTTTTAAGAAAAGAAAAGGCTGCCTTGGTTTAAATGTGCTCTGGACCATATTCAGTTCCAGGTAGACATTATTATTTACAATAATAATTACAGATATTCTGAATGATTCAGATACATTCTTCAGCTCTCCTTAACACTACTGCATTTTTTTCATGAATTATTAGATACCAATTCTAAACAATTATTTTCTTAAGCTTCAACTTGACTAAATTTGCATTCCCTGTTTGTGTAAATTAGCAACATGTGAACACTTTTCTAGTGCAAAGAATACTAGATATGGTTTACTTTCTAGAACATGGGTCATGGGATATTTCTATACTTGAATGTTGTGTTTGGCTTTTTAAAAATGGTTACATTCAAGCAGTGATTCTTTATGTGACTTTGCCGAAGGTAAAACTCCAACTAATGGTGTCACTTTAGTAGAAAAATGCTGTTTACTTCTTACCATGCTTTATAATAAGGCATGTATATTAGTAAAGAAGGAGAGGAGGAGACAGTCAAAAAAGAGCAGCAGAGGAGACAGATTACAGGGGCTGTATATATTATCACCCTGAAGTCAGTAGGGAAGGCTGCTAAATGCTCTTACAACTGTAATAGCCTATCTCATGTTAATTCTAGCCTGAAGCTTCCTGACACTTCTTGTTCAGAGATAATGGGGACGGAACTACTCTTTTATTTTTTTTTTTTTCTGAACAGCAGATTTTTTTTTTTCCCAAGGACGTCAAATAAATTAAGAAATCTTTGCAAACAGCAATACAAAAGCCTTTTTGCTTTGTAGGAATTCCCAGTAATAACATGCAAGAGTTATTACCCTTGATACTTAGTAAATTTTTTAATGGCTAGCAATAATCGTTTTGATTGAATATTGGCTTATAATAGCCTTGTAAAGGAATTCAAGCACCCTTAACTGCTTTCAACCTTAGCTTCATGTGCCTCGGGAAAATCTTTCAAACAATAGATCTTGGAGTCATTAACGTGGACATATTTTATAAAAATGAAAGTTAATACCTATTAACCTCAAAATTGAAGCCAATTAAAATTGACTCTTTATATTAATTTTTAATACTTCAATGTATTATTGATTGTCTTCTTTGAAAGAGGAAATTATTTTATGGCAACTTGCAGTTTAATTTCCTTGGACATTCAGCTTTCTTTTAAGCAAAGAAATTTCGTAGTTTTCATAATTCCTGGTATACAAATCAACTGGGATTTTATGTCCTGAATGTCTCATCTAAATATTCCAGATTTCTTCAACCAACTGGGGAAAAATATTAGAATTTTTTTTGTTTGTTATAAGAAATATAAGAAAGTATTTTGTTTGAAGTATTGGAAATCAAGGTTGTTTTAATATTTTGTTTGGTATTTATGCCTCCTCAGTGAGAATGCTTTGGGGCTATACTGTTTTGCT